GGGCCGCTGGCTCTCCACCTGAAGCGGATGCAAAAGATGCCCGCCTCAGGCGCCGAAAAATGTGGTTTGTACCCTGAACGTGGTCTGGGTCGCGGGTTGGTCGCGAGTTGGTCACGGGGGGGGTCGCGGGCTCTCCACCTTGAAGGAATGCAAAAAAGAAGCCCGCAGCAGGCGCCGAAAATTATGGTTTATACTTTGAACGTGGTTTGGATCGAAGGTGGGTCGCGGATGGGTCGCGGGGTGGGTCGCGGGCGGGTCGCGGGGTGGGTCGCGGGGTGGGCCGCGGGCGGGTCGCGGGTGGGTCGCGGGGTGGGTCGCGGGGTGGGTCGCGGGGTGGGTCGCGGGGTGGGTCGCGGGGTGGGTCGCGGGTGGGTCGCGGGTGGGTCGCGGGTGGGTCGCGGGGCGCGGGTGGGTCGCGGGTTCGCGGGTTGGCGACGACGACAACAAACAACAACAACAACAACAACAACAACAACAACAACAACAACAACAACAACAACAACAACAACAACAACAACAACAACAACAACAACAACAACAACAACAACAACAACAACAACAACAACAACATCAGCAACAACAACAACAACAACCGACAAACAACAAACAACATCATCAACAACACCACCACCACCAACAACAACAATTATCCGCACCGCGGAATTCCATTTCAGCCACGCACCCAGGGACAGCGAATGACCGTTCAGCCCCTTCACTCTGATATGACATGTTGGCGCCTTCGGCGGGTTTGTCCAGTGTCCCGAAAGCTGCCGACGTCCCCGCCGCCCCCATCACTCTTTTCCACATATGCGGGGTGCGAAGTATATTTGTTCACACGCTGCTTCTGTCTGTCCGCTCTCTGCGTGTGTGAGTCTCTCTCCGTCTCTGTATCTTTCTCTCTCTCTCTCTCTTTCTATCCTCTCTCTCCTTGTTGCGCTTCTTGTATAGTTCGCATCGTGTTTCATAACTACGCCCCTGCGCCCACCTGCTGTGCCCCCGTGGCACCTCGACTGATGGCCGATGTCCGATGTCCGATGGGGAAGGGCCCTTGGGAAGGACCCTTGGGGGAGAAGACCCTTGGGAAGGACTCTTGATGACCTCGCCGCCCAGCGGGACGCCCGACGCGGCACCTGCCAGGGACCCGACGTTTACGCCGATTTTGGATCACCAGGGTCGGCCGTAGCAACTAATTCGAGCCCATGCGCTAGTGCCGATTCAGCGTCGATTTGGCGTCGACTCGCGCCGAATAGCTTCGGGTAGTGTCGGCTGGCGTCGTTCAGCGTCGATTCGCAAGACCCAGCAAGATGGCACAGGAGGCTCCCATGAGTTGCCGCCGAAGGCCCGCGGGCATCGGGCCCGCGGACCCGATGCGTTCCCGCACGCCCGAAGCCCTGTCGCCGACCCGGTCTCGGACCCCCCGGGGCTTTTCCCCGTGAAGTACTTTGCGTCGAAGGATTGATGCCGGAGCCGCACCGCAGCTCCTGTCCATCGTGATCAGGGCTCGCTGTCGACGTCGCCGTGGTCGTTGCCAGTTTGGAGCACACGGTCTCCTGCCCAACAACGGCCGCGGTCGGTTTGGGACATCGTCTGTTGTGCATCGTGCCTTTTTTCCGCACCCTTCTTCGGGCGTCCTAAGTGCGGGCACTACCGCGGCAAACATTGACGTTCATTGGGGCCCCGCCGTAGACTACGAGTTACATATGAGCCGTCACGCCCACGTTTAGTCTTCCATTCAGCACGGATGTTTTTCCCAAGCATCGTGCCTCCAGCGCGCGGACATCACACGCGCTTGCCTGGAACACGGGCCTTCCGCCCGCCAAGATCCCCGACGCCGTCGATGTGCGCCGACTCCGGGCACCCCTCCTCCGCGGCTCCCGCTCGTGCCTGGCGCTGGTGCACGACGGCGTCGCCACGGGCCGACGCTCGGCTCCGTGCCCTCGTCCTCGAAGCCGCCGCCCGCGCACCCGGTCCGTGCCGAGCGGGCGTCCGGCGTGAAGGTCGGCGCGCCGCGGCCCAGCGGCTCTCGGCCGGCGCTGTGTGCCGAGGGGTCTCTCCGCTCCCGGCCGTCGAGGGTTGCCTTTCGTTGCTTTGCTGCGGCAGCTCCGGCTGTGAGGAGAAGCCAACCCTTCCTCCCTCCTCCACCTCCTCCTCCTGCTTTCCCTCCCCCTTCTCCTCCTCCTCATCCTCCTCCTCCTCCTCCTCCTCACTTCTCGTCCTCTCTCCCCCGCCTCCCTCCTCCCTCATCCTCCTCCTCCTCTTCCGCCTCCTCCTCCTCCTCCTCCTCCTCCTCCTCCTCCTCCTCCTCCTCACTCCTCGTCCTCTCTCCTCCGCCTCCCTCCTCCTCCTCCTCCTCCTCCTCCTCCTCCTCCTCCTCCTCCTCCTCCTCCTCCTCCTCCTCACTCCTCGTCCTCTCTCTCTCCGCCTCCTCGTCCTCCTCCTCCTCCTCCTCCTCCTCCTCCTCCTCCTCCTCGTCCTCTCTCCTCCGCCTCCCTCTTCCCTCCTCCTCTTCCTGATCCTCCTCCTCCTCCTCCTCCTCGGACCAGCTCTGGCAGTTCCGAGGCGGCGACGGAGGAGGATCGGCATGGGGGGGCGACACTAGCGCCGATCCAAGAGATCGGCGCGGACTCCCAAGAGCGTATATGTAGGGGCTGCTTCGTTTCTGAGAGGCACGCGGGTTTCATGGGGGTCCGCGCGATTTCTCGAAGGGAATCGGTTGGAAGCCAGTGGGAATTCGGGGTGGCCGCACGGGTTTGGGGGGCCTGGGTCATCCTCCGAGGACGTCTCGGGCGGCTTGGGTTTCAGGCTCCCAGGGCTGGGCGGTGGCGGACCGTGCGGTGATGTCTTGTGCGCGTTGCGAGGTCACCGCACGGTGTTTCACCGCGCCGTCGTTGGACACCCCGAGCCCCCTCTCGGCGGCGAGCAAGGGGGGGAAGTGAGAAGGAGAAGGCCTGCTTAGAAGTCAGCGGGGCTTCTCAAAATCCCTCGCGCCTTCTGAGAGGCTTTCTGTGTCTTCAGGGGAAGGCTTACGAACCTTCTCAGAAGGGCTGGGGGACGTCCGAGCCTTCCTAGAAGGCCCGCCCCCACTCACTTCCCCCCTGGGCTCTCCGCCTAGAGGATGGGGAACGTGGATGAAGGAGACGGGAGATGTGTTGGAGGTGGGGGAGCGAGGTCGACGAGTAGGAGGAGGACGTACCAAGTCCTTTCCTCACACGTCCGTGCGAGGGTTCATTTTCACCCCTGCGGGCCCACCCCTGATTGACGAGCGCCGGGTGTGCCTGCCACTCAGGCGAGACCCCGTCAGGTAAAAGCATCCACCCTCCGTCCCTCCAGCTGCAAGGAAGGCGCAGCGGTGGGCGATTGTATGTTTAAGGGTCCAGCGACGGGCCTGGGTTATCGGGCACGCCGGACCCCCCCCCGCTCCCCCCCGGACAACCTAACCTTGCCGATTGCGCACGTCCGACGACAGGAACACGCGGAATTGGTGCGCGCCAGCACAGTTACGTGCGGCTTGCCAGCGTGGGACTGCCCAGAGCGAAAAGGCTGGGTTATCGGCCAGCGCCTCCCCCCTCCCCCCCACTGGATAACCTGGATCAGTAGCAGGACAATGAACAATAACGGTGTCTAGCAGGGGATGCGTCCAGCGATGTTTGCATCGCGGCTTAATTCGCATCTGGATGTCCTACACATGTTCCTTCCGTCAGAGCAGTCTCTCTGCCTAGCCGCCAAAGCAAGAGAAGTCCAGCGATGTCGCCTCCATGCACGCGTACAAGCGATGCGCAACGTCAAACTTCGGGCTATACGTTCCGCGGATATCTGAAGGGAAGCCCCGTGTGGAGACGGAGCCGCCCACCATCAGTGTAGCTGTTGCACCACGGTCAACTTTGAAAGCGAACCGACCTCCATCTCTGTAAGTGTCGCAGACGTTCACAGCGAATGTGCGCCTTGCTGAGGCGAGAGCCGCACGTTGAAAGCGACCGCCCTTGCATCCTTGTAGCCGTTGGAGGTAGCCCCGGAGCGGTACAGCGAAAGGAAATCTCAAGCGAAACGCCAGGCCCTGCCAACGAACAGGTGTGGAAGTGCAACAGAGGGGAAGTTGGTTATGTGGCAACTGGAAAGAAGAGTAGGAAGAGGCGGAGGAGGAGGAGGAGGAGGAGGAGGAGGAGGAGGAGGAGGAGGAGGATAAGGAAATGAGGATATTGAGGAAGATGAGGAGGAGGTCCCCAGAGGTCATCAAAGGCCTCAAGAGCCCCCCCAACCAAATCATCAGACGCGCTGGAATCTGAATCCCCCAATTCTCGATCCCCAAGGAGGTTCAGAGGTCGGAGGAGGAGGAGGAGGAGGAGGAGGAGGAGGAGGAGCAGAAGGAGAAGGAGGAAGAGGAGGAGGCGGGGGAGGAGAAAAAGGAGGAGGAGGAGGAGGAGGAGGAAATGAGGAGGAGGAGGAGGAGGAGGAGGAGGAGGAGGGAAGGCGGAGGAAGACGAGGCGGAGGCGGCCAGGAGGACCAGGGGAGGACGAGAAGGAGCCCCCCTCCCTCCTCCTCGCCGCGCATCAGGCGCCGTCGATGGCCCGCTCGAGGGCGGCGCCCGGCAGAGGGGCCTCATCGTCACGCTCGCCCCGGAGGGGGGAGACGGCAGCCTGGCCGCGGTGGCGGAGGTCGCAGCCGCGGCCGCGCGGTGTCGCCGCCGTCGCCGCCGTGGTCGAGGATCGAGCCTCGGGCTTCTCCTCCTCCACCTCCTCCTCCGCCGTGGTCGAGGACTGAGCCTCGGGCTTCGAGGCTCGAAGCTCGAGGAGCGAGGCTCGCGAGGCTCGAGGCTCGCGAGGCTCGAGGATGCGAGGGCCGAGGTTCGAGGAATGTCACCCTCGCCCCGGAGGGCGGCGGGGATCGAGGTTCGAGGGCCACCGAATGGTGCGTCGGCCACCCTCCAGGGGCTTGATGACTTGTCGAGCATCGACTTGTGGGGATCAAGACAGCTTAATGAAAGCCCATACCGATAAGTCGGGATGCATCCAAGTAAGTCTGAGTCCAATCAGGTACGTCCAGGAATCTCCAGGGACATCTGGAGCAACTCGTGGCCGTTCCAGCGCGAGTCGAAGGGCGGCAGAAGTCGTTAAGCCCTTCACGAGCAGGAGCGTAATTTTTCATAGTTCCGTTCAGATCTCTTGAATCGGAGCTGGGCCCCCATGGCGTGCTCCGCGCGCCAGGGGGCCGTGTACCAGCGCTGATTCAAGAAGTCCGCGTGGACCACCAAGAGTGTATGTCCATGAGGTGCTTCGTTCCCTTGAGGAGTCAGTGAGGAATTCTCGAATCGGCGCTGGGGCCACATGGCGGCGCCTCCGGCGCTGTCCCTGGCGCGCTCCGCGCGCCAGGTGGCGGGTACCAGCGCCGATCCAAGAGATCCTCGCGGACCCCCAGGCGTGTATGGTTAGGATGTGTTTCGCCTCTCTCCCTCTCTCTCCCTCTCTCTCTGAGGAGTGCGCGCGGGTTCCCTGGAGGTCCGCGCGATTTGTCGGAGGAAATCGGTGTGGAAATCCACACCGATCCAAGAGTGATTCGTTTCTCCATGGAGCCAGTGATGATTCGGGGTGGCCGTACGGGTTTGGTGGCTCCGGTTATGCTCCGAGGACCTCTCGGCCGGCTGGGGCGTCAGGACCCCAGGGCTGGGCGGTGGCGGACCATGCGGTGAGGTCTTGTGTGTGTGTGTTGCGAGGTCACCGCACGGTGTGTCACCGCGCCGTCGTTGGACCCCCCGAGCCCCCTCTCGGCGGCGAGAGAAGGGGGGGGGAAGTGAGAAGGAGAAGGCCTTCTCTCAGCAGGCGGCAGGGCTTCTCGGAAGCCCTCTGGCCTTCTGGGAGGTACTCCGCGTCTTCGGGGGACGGCGCAGGGCGCTCCTCGGAAGCCTGGCGGACTTCGGAGCCTGCTGGTGAGGCCTTCTCCTAGTCGTCCTTCTTCCCCCCCCCCGGGCTCGCCGCCGACCCTCGATCCTCGATCGATCGATGATCGAGCCTCTGTCCGGGTCGTGCGTCGTCGCTGCCGCCGCCTCCCGGGCAGTGCCACCGGCGGGTCGACGAGGGGGGTCACCAGCTCTTCAGGAGGATCGGGGCTCTGGGATCCAAGCCCGAGGAGTTGCCTAGACGCTTTGGGTAGCAGTTCGCGAGAAGAAGCAGGAGGAGTTGCCTGGACGCCCTTCCATCCCGAGTCGATCTCTTGACGGCCGCGGGGACCGAGAAGGCGTCAGGCAGATCCAGAGCCTCGTTCATTGCAGGGCCCGCTTGCTTCACACTAAGCCTATGCTTCCCTGATGCGCCCGTGTTGAAATGCAGCACCCACCGTTTCCAAAACGTCACGGTCAATCAGCTGCGTGTTGCTTCGACACGTGTTGGCCCAAGCTTTGGCTAACATATCGCGCCAGACGTATGTTTTGTTTCCAAATGCGTGCGGTGACCCGTGTCAACACGCTACGGATTGCGTGTTGCTTATCGGCGCAGCTCAGCAGCAGTCTCCTCTCTGGCCTAATGAAAGGGGGGGGGGGATAGGGAAGGGGGGGGTGGGGGGCGACGTCAGCTGCATGCAGCTGGCTTCTGCCCAGCCGCCAGGCCCAGTCCTCGATGCGCGGGCGCCTCCTGGCTCAGGAGGCGCCAGGGAAGCCTGCTGCATGGGCCGACTCCCCACCCCCCGCTGTCCTCTGCTGCCCTGCCCTTGCGCCCTCCCCGATCCTGCCCGGCCGCGCCTGCAGGTCATGCGCCGCATGGGCCAGGCGACCCCGTGGGACGTGGAGTCCGCGCTGCGCCGCGCCGAAGCGGCCGCGGCAGCTGCCGCGGCCGCGGCCGCCCCGGGAGGCCCTCGTCTTCGTCGCCACCGTCGTCGTCGTCGTCGTCGTCGTCGTCGTCGTCGGTTGTCGTCGTCTTAACCATCGCCGATTATCGTCATCGTCGATTGTCGTCATCGTCGACGTCGTCGTCGGTCGTCGTGGGTCCTCGTGGTCGTCGGGACGGTGGTCGCCATTATCCTCCTGCTCCTCCTCTTCCTCGTCCTAATCCTCATCAGCATCGAAGCCTCCAAGCTGCGGGCACTTTGGGTCGATACGAGGCTCCTCATCCTCCTCCTCCTCCTCCTCCTCTTCTTCCTTCTCATCGAACACTCCTACCTGCGGGCGCTCGGGGTCGACGCGAGGCTCCTCCTTCTCCTCCTCCTCGTCCTCTCCTCATCGAAGCCTCCAAGCTGCGGGCAATGTGGGTCGATACTGGGCTCCTCATCCTTCCCTTCTTCCTCCTCATCGAACACTCATGCCTGCGGGCACCTAGGGTCGATACGAGGCTCCTCCTCCTTCTCCTCCTCCTCCTCCTCCTCCTCCTCGCCCTCCTCATCGAAGCCATCAAGCTGCGGGCAATGTGGGTCGATACTGGGCTCCTCATCCTTCTCTTCCTCCTCGTCATCGAACACTCATGCCTGCGGGCACCTAGGGTCCATACGAGGCTCCTCCTCCTCCTCCTCCTCCTTCTCCACCTCCTCCTCCTCGCCTTCCTCATCGGGCAATGTGGGTCGATACGAGCCTCCAAGCTGCGGGCAATGTGGGTCGATACGCGGCCCCTCCTCCTCTTCCTCCTCCTCACCCTCATCGAATCCACCAAGCTGCGGGGATATATGTTTTCATGCGAGGCTACTTATCCTCCTCCTCCTTATTTTCATCATTACCATCGAAGCCTCCAAGCTGAGGGCACTTTTGGCCGATACGAGGCGTCTCTTCCTCGTCTTCCTCCTCCCCCTCATCATCATAATCATCATCATCAGCAGCAGCAGCATCATCATCATCATCATCATCATCATCATCATCATCATCATCATCATCATAATCATAATCATAATCACAATCAGCATCATCATCATCAGCATCATCATCATCAACATCATCATCATCATCATCATCCTCATCCTCCTCAGCATCATCATCATCATCACCATCATCATCATCACCATCATCATCATCATCATCATCATAATCATCATCATCAACAACAACATCATCATCATCAGCATCATCATCATCGTCATCATCATCACCGTCGATGCCTCCAGGCTTCGGGCACTGTGGGTCGGTACGAGGGTTCTCCTCTTTCTTCTCCTCCCCCTCTTCCTCATGTTCCTCCTCGTCCTCCTCCTCCTCCTCCTCCTCCTCCTCCTCCTCCTCCTCCTCCTCCTCCTCCTCCTCCCCGTCCTACTCCTCGAAGCCTCCCAGTTGAGGGCACTTTGGGCCGATACGAGGACCCTCCTCCTCCCTCCTCCTCCTCCTCCTCCGCCTCCTCCTTCTCCTCCTCCTCCTCCTCCTCCTCCTCCTCCTCCTCCTCCTCCTCCCCATGATCATCATCATCACCATCATCATCAGCAGCAGCGTCAACATCACTATCATCAACGTCATCACAATTATCCTCATCATAATCATCATCAGCATCAGCATCAGCATCATCGTCATCATTATCGTCAGCATCATCAGCATCATCATACGTCATAAGTACCATCATCATTATCATCGTCACCATCATTAGCATCATCATCATCATCATCATCATCATCATCATCATCATCATCATCACCATCACCATCACCATCATCATCATTGGCATCTTCATCATCATCACCATCATCATCATCATCATCGAAGCCTCCAAACTGCGGGCACTTTGGGTCGATACGAGGCTCCTCCTCGTCCTCCTCCTCGTCCTCTTAATCGAAGCCTCCAAACTGCGGGCGCGTTGGGTCGATACGAAGCTCCTCCTCCTCCTCCACCTTCTTCTTTTCCTCCTCCTCCTCCTCCTTCTCCTCCTCCCCGCCTCGCTTCTCCGTTCGCTTTACTAACCCAGGCAGCGGCGGACCCCCCAAGGCGAAGAACACCGGCGACGTTGTCCTGTACGTGTTGCGCGCCGCATCGCCCCCACTCGCGCTGCGCCGCAGAAGCCCGCTCGGCCGCTCGATAGAACGCGCTCCACCTGCGGCAGATTTGTGTCGTGTGGACGCGGCGGCGACCTCGCCGCCGGGGTTCAAATCTGACCACGCCGCCAGTGGCCCGGACTCGGTCCATATGGAACCAGATGGCGATCGCAGCGCCGCCGATCGTCCACGGTTGGACGATCCACGCCGTGTCGGAAAACAACGCGCGAGTCGTCACGACACAAACTTGCCGTACCAGAGTGACACTATTCATCTAAATGTGTGCCCGTCTCTTTCGAGGCATGGTCGATGTTGGCGGCTCGGTCGTAGTCCTGCGGCAAGCGATGGGGCGCCGCAGCCATCGTGTTGGGGGGCGTTGCGGCGAGTACGCATGTAACGACGACTGCTTGTGTCGTCACCTGGGGGCGCGGGCTCGGACAGCGAAAAATTGACGACGACTTTTTGGTTTCGTCGTCTCGGCGGGCTGCCCAGCGGAAATCCCATCGCGGCCGCGGTGCACGCAGCGAGTACCATGACGATTTGTCCTGGTCCGAGCGCGGGCGAATGTTTGTTCTGTCGGAGAAGTTAGCGGCGAGCTTCGTGGGGTGCAGGGGTGACTGCCGCCGCACGTTGCTTTTCGCCATGCCTGCTTCGTGACGGTCTGCGACGCACGTGGATTACATGTTACAGTGTTTTCGCTTCAGCCATGCACCGGAAGAGCTATGCCCCATCTCTCTGAAAGACCGCAGTGCGCGCCGCCCGTGGCGAAAGGCATGCAACGCTGGCGTCACCTTCCCTCGATGGCGACCTTGAGGATTCCCGCCGTTTCTGAGGGCGCGCATACCTGACATCATCGTCGCCGGGGGCTTTGCCGGCTCTCCGCCGATCCAAGGAATCCGCGCGGACGTCCAAAAGCATTATGTTCATGCGATGTGCTGTTCCTCTCTTGCTGTTTTGGCCTTCCGTATGTGCCATCAGCGACCCCACCATTGCAGTGGTGAATCTTACCAAGTTGTTCATGAGCACGGCCAAGCGCTTCACCCCGACCTTTCAGGCAGCCATTCACAAGTCCACGCACCTCTGGCTCAATGACTGCGCGCGCCAGAGTACGATTCCCAGCAACCAGAGTGCTCGGAAGGTCTGCTCTTGGAAAATCGTTCGCACACCGGCCGCACCCTGCAGCGCCCTGTTGAATCACGCCCGTCATGCAAAGCATGGCGTTCGTTATGTGATGCCCTCATTCTTCGCGCTGGGAGCTCTCAGATTTCCGTTCCGCCATCATCGTCTATAGCTGGGTCATGTGCCATGAGGGTTAATACTGAAGCAGAAGGTAGATTTGTTCGCGCATACTTTCGGACAGAAGTTCGGCTCACCAGATGTTTGCATGAACTATTTCTCCAGAGTTGACGCTGACACGAGTGGCAACACGTCTGGCGTCAACCCCATGCGCCGCCCAGACGCTTTACATGTGCCGGATCTGTCCGGGGAGATTCCAGCACCGGCGCCGAGACAGTTGTAGCTCGCTTGTTGGAAACATGTGCCAACAAGCTCCTGGTTCCTCTTGCCATGGTTGCCCGGCTTCTCGCGTTTGCGGTTTTCAAGAGCAAGGCCAGGTCCAATGCTTGTATTTACCGTGGTATCTGTTTGACGCCTCCGTCAATAAGGTCGTTGAGAGGTTCTTTGCAACACGTGTTCCTCCACTTTCCGAGAGCACGCGCGCATGCGATCGAAAGCAGTTTGTTTACCACCACGTCTGCGGGTAGCGCGATGCCTTAGCATGTACTGTATGCCACTTGGTCTGGGCAGTTGGGACAGGGCGCTGGGTTTCCGTCAATTGTTCCGACGCGACGTGTTTGGTGCATGTGTCCGGCAGAGTTTGTTTTTCCAGGCTTTACGTTGTATTTCGTGCCGCAGGCATTTCAGAGGGAGTCGCGAAGGTTATTTTTGTCTTGCTCGAGCTGCGCACAGCCAGGGGTAGGCCTGATGTTCAAAACATTGTAGATTGTTGAGAAATCTAGGACAGCGGATTGTAAGTCCCTGCAGGTGTAGCTTCCCTGTCCAGTTATCACTTACTTTTCATTGGTACCGCCCAACAAAGAAAGGAAGGGGGCTAGCAATGAAGTGCGTCGACGGCATCCCGTTGGAGAACATGGTGTTCCAGGGAACTGCGCTCCGCCCGCCACTCTGAAATATGCACAACGCCGATGCAGGGCGCGCCATTGCCGACGGAGGATTCGAAGAGTGCGTTTTCGCTGACGACGCTGGGATCCGCGGCACATTGAACATCTTTGGAGCATGCAAAGGTTGCTAATATTATTTGCATGCCCGCGGCGTTGCCAGCCAAGCGTTGTTTGAAATAGAGAGGGAAAGTATGCGCATCTTGGACAAGGTTTAGCCTCACGGCGCCAATTTCAAAATATTGGGTATTAGGATGGTTAGAAATAGTGTCGATGTACCATGTTGTCCGCCGGTCTTCCGTAGAGGCATATTGGAGGTTGTATGCGTTGCTCCGAGGTGGCAGCTTCGACCCTACAAGTGAAATGATACCTCGTATGCTTGTACACGAGCCAGATTTTGTCTTACACAGAAGGTGCCACCCCAGCCGTATGCCACGCTACATCTCATGTGCTCAAACATCCCGACGACGTGCAACATGTGTCGTTGACGAAGGGGTATGCTATGTGCGAGCACAACTTGTACAAGTAGGGACGAGGCGAGACATGTTTATGTACGGCTTACTTCAAACGTCGATTCGTAAAGCCCCTCTTTCTCTGTCTACGCTCTTCCCTCGAGCCTCTGGCGTCCTAGAATCTCGCGGGTTAATCGACAACAGGCGTCTGCACAGTCGGGCGCTCAAAGGCCCGATCGAGATGCATGTTCGGCATGACCAGCGTGTCTAACCATCTCCAGCAGCAGCTCGTGGACTGCCGCTCCGTCAATTCTGTTCTAGGGTCGATGCAGCTCTGGGCCACAGACCCTGTACCATCTCACGCGGCAGCGCGGCAGTTTGTTGCATGCCGCGCCCTCCTGCGCTCGATGGGTTCATTGAGGGCCCGTTTGTAGAACGCGTAGGGCGGCGAGCGAGCGGGCCTGGTGGCCGATGCTCTTGCGAGTTCACTTGAGCTCCCGGCGATGCAGCTGCTTGTCGCAACGGGCGTTCTCGCGTTCCGGGCCCTGGGGCCCCTCACGTACCGATCCCACTCGAGAAAGGACGCAGAGCGTTGGGCCCCGGGGGCTCCTATGACGCATTGTTCGCGATGCTGCAAGTTGTCTGCAACGCCAATCAGAGATGAAGGTCGGGCCTCAGAGCCTGGGCAGGAAATGGGGGAGGAGGAGGAGGAGGAGGAGGAGGAGGAGGAGGAGGAGGAGAAGGAGGAGGAGGAGGAGGAGGAGGAGGAGGAGGAGGAGGAGAGGAGGAGGAGGAAGAGGAGGGAGGAGGAGAAGGAGGAGGCGGGAGGAGGGAGGAGCCGCCCCTTTCCCTCCCCCCCCTTCCTTGGAGTCGGTCGTGTTCTTTTGTTCTCTCTTCACCTCTTGGTTCACCCCCCTGGGCGCTTCCGGGTTGGTGGTGTTAGAGGGCCACGGTTCTCTGGAAAATTATGGGTTCCCCGTTCGAGGGGGAAAGGAGGAGGGACGTAGGGGGAGGAGGAGAAGGAGGAGGACCGAGGAGGAGGAGGAAGAGGAGGAAGAGGAGGAGGAGGAGGAGGGGGAGGGGGAGGAGGGGAAGAGAAGGAGGAGGAGGAGGAGGAGGAGGAGGAGGAGGGGGGAAGAGCAGGAGGAGGATAAGGAGAACGCGGAGGGGAATGCGGAGGAGGAGGAGGAAGAGACGAGAGGAGGAGGAGGAGGAGGAGAGGAGGAGAGGAGGAGGGGAGGAGGATGGGGTCGCACGGGCCGTGCGCCTTCGCGCATGCTCCGCGCGGCCGAGGGTGTGCTGCGGGCGGCGGTGTCCACGCTGGCCAAGCTCTCCTCTTCCGCGATGGCCGCGGCGCCCCCCGCGAAGCCCACCGCGGCCCATCGGAGGCGGCGTCGGCCGCGCGAAGCCCGCCGCTGCACAACGGGCGACGCCGAGAGGACGGCAGGCACGGGCGGCGCCGCCGACGGCATGGACGTGGTGGCCGATGCGTCCTCTGCCTCCTCCTCCTCCTCCTCCTCCTCCTCCTCCTCCTTCTTCTCTCCTCCTCCTCCTCCTCAACCTCGAGCCGCCCTCCTCCTCCTCCTCCTCCTCCTCCTCCTCCTCCTCCTCCTCCTCCTCCTCCGCCTCCACAATTACTCAATATGAAAATACTCTCCCTCTTCCCCTGATGGCGTCCGGGTGATGGCCGCGCACCCTCCGCGTACTGTTTTTTACACACAGGATTCCCGGGAAATCCCGGGAAACGACTCTCGCTGAGGCGCCGGCGTCATTTTTTCCCAAAATGCTGCTCTCGTTGAGGCGCCGGCCTCATTTCTGCTCCCGAATCGTTCCGAATCGTGCTCCCGCTGCAGCGTGGGCCTCATTTTCGGATCGGTGTTTGGCCTCCGTCGTTCAGGATGGCGTTCTCGCCCCAGCGCGGGCCTTTTTCTCGCGCGCCCATCCGCCCGCCACCACCGCGCCGCACCGCCACCACCACCACCACCACCACCACCACCACCACCACCACCACCACCACCACCACCAACACCACCACCACCAGCACCAGCACCACCACCACCAGCACCACCACCACCACCACACCACCACCACCACCACCACCACCACCCACCACCACCACCACCACCACCACCACCACCACCACCACCACCACCACCACCACCACCACCACCACCACCACCACCACCACCACCACCACCACCACCACCACCACGACCCACGCACACACGCACGCACGCACGCACGTGCACCACCACCCACTACGCACGCGCGCGCGGAGCCACAGGTCCGCTACGACACGCGTCCGCGGATAGAGAAAATCAGCGCCATGGTAAGGGATGGGAGGGAGGGGTAGGACGTCAGATATGACGCGAGCGCACCTAGCTTGTCCTCCTCCCCTCCCCTCCCCTCCTCCTCCTCCTCCTCCTCCTCCTCCTCCTCCTCCTCCTCCTCCTCCTCCTCCTCCTCCTCCTCCCCCTCCTCTTCCTCCCCCTCCTCCTCCGCGGGGATGCGGCCGGGGATGCGGCTGCGGGGGCCGATGCGTCGCCGGCGCCGGTGCTGGAGGCCGACGCCTGGCCCGACGAGCTTCCGCTGGTGCGGCGGCGCGGCAGCCTGGCTTTCAGCACGGCCTCGGGCAGGGCAAGGACATTCGGGGGCGGCAAAGGGGGGGTGGTGACCGTGGGGTGGACATCATGGCGGGGTCCATGATATTTTCTCGGATTTCGTGGCGCCTCGTCTTGTTTCATTACATCCCTGCCCCCCCCCTGGGCCACGCACATGCCGCCGGCCAGGATTTGCGCCACCCCCTCTGGACGCCCCCCTCTGACCGCCCCCGAGACATGGGCGCAGACGTGGACGGCGATTGCGGCGTGTTGGCCGACGTGCTCGAATTCGGCTTCACGGTCGAAGATTCTTGGTCTCTCAGACGAATTCTAGGCCCCGCCGTTTTGCGCGCGATGCCAGATCCATCGTAGCGTCAATGTCGGTCAATGACGAGGAGGAGGACGAAAGGAGGAGGAGGAGGAGGAAGAGGAGGAGGAGGAAGAGGAGGAGGAGGGGGAGGAAGAAGGAGGAGGAGAATGAGAAGGCGAGGAGGAGGAGGAGGAGTTGGAGGATAAGGAAGAGGAGGAGGAGGCGGAGGAGGAACAGGAGGAGGAGGAGGAGGAGGAGGAGAAGGAGTAGGAGAGGAGGAGAAGAGAAGATATGAAGAGGAGGGGCAGGAAGAGGAACACATGAGACGGAGAATGCGGAGAAAGAGTGGAGGAGGAGGAGGAGGAGGAGGAGGAGGAGGAGGAGGAAGAGGAGGAAGGAGAGAAGGAGGTAAGGAGGTAAGGAAGGGAAGGGGAGGCTCCCCGTCAGGGCTGTCTGCCGTCTGGCGGGCCTCGCCCCGCCCCCGCGGCCGGATCCCGAGGCGGGCGAGACCGCAGCCGCAGCAGGCCGCGGCGGGGAGGCGACGCGCCGCTTTCGGGGTGGCGGCAGCAGTGGCGGGGGGAGTCGGGGGCCCCCAAACGGGGCGGTGACCACACCGTGTGGTGAGTCGGTGAGGATTCGGGGTCACCGCACGGTCTTGGGACTCGGGTCGTTCCCCGAGGACGTCTCGGGCGACTGGGGCATCCGAGGTCCCAAAACCGTGCGATGACGGACCGTGCGGTGAGGTCTTGGGTGATTCTATAGGCTTACGCCACATCTTCCGACCCGTAATGCGCCTCCAGGGCTGCATTTCACGAGGCTTGTCCGAATCATAACACGGCGCTCAACACATCGTTCCTGTTGCTTCGTTGCTGTTATCGTACCTCTTGGTGCTCTTTTGTAGCCTTTGGTGGCATCTTGGCCTGCCTGCAGGCCATATCCGGCCGTCTCGAGGCATCTTGGGCCAAGTTTTGGGGCCTCTTGGGGGCTTCCTGGGGGCTTCTTGGAGGCCTTTGAGGTTCTCTTGGGGGTCCCTCAGGGCCTCTTGGAATGTTCTTGGGGCAGGCTGGGGGCGTTTTGGGGCCGAAAGCTCGAAAAGGTTTCCTCTGGACTCCGTCTTGGAGCCGTCTGGGGGCCCTCTTGGGCTGTCTTGGGGGCTTCGTGGGCTGTTGTTGGACCCTCTTCGACCCTTCTTTGGGGCCCCTTTGGCCGTCTGGGGGCGATATTGAAGGTTTCTTTGCCCGTCTGGGACGATGTGAAAACCGAATAGGCGAGCATGCAACAAATGCTTGTTTGTTCAAAGATTTGTGTTTCTTGGGGCCCTCTTGGGGCGAATCTTGGGGGCCTCTGGGGGCGTCTTGGCAGCTTCGGAGGCAGCCTGGAGGCCATCGTGGGCGTCCAGGGGCGATATGTTGGCGAATCGTGGCCCCCTGTGACCGTCTGGGAACGTTTTGGTGCCTTCTTGGCCAGTCTTGGAGCCCTCCGCTCCCCCGTGGCGCGTTCGGTCTGGGGTCGAGGGCGCCCAGGGGAGAGGGTCAAATTGCCGGTTTGGGGTCCCCTGGGGGGGGGTATGGGTGCGGGATCATCTCACATGCCTAGAGACTCACAGAGGTCACCGCACGGTCTCTCACCTCACCTTTTCAGTACTCCAAAGGGGAGGTCGGACGGGGGGCCAGGACGAGGGTTAGGTCGGGCATGTCCTCCTACAGAGGAAGTTTGGAAAAATGACCAGCACATGTTCAAAAATAATCAAAAGAATACTAGAACAAAACGGCCCCCGACTGTTTTCGTTTTTTTAAATCTTCCTGTAGAGCCCGACTTAAGGCGAGGATCAATCCGTTTCAGGGCGTGCGTCGCCTGGAGTGGCTTGTCGGACGGGGCCCGGACGAGGAGAATGAACCTTGAGATTCCAGCGTCTCAATATGTTTATTTTCTCGTTCTTTCGAGCTCCGGGGCCCTCACGAATCGATCGGGCTTGAGAAATTACGCAGTAAGATGGGGTTGAGGGCTCCAGGCTTCTGATTGTTCCCAACCATTATGTGGTGTTGGGCCCTCGTTTTGAAGAGACGGTCCTCGCGTTCCTGTCTTCTTCTCCTCCTCTTCCCCCTCCTCCCTCCTCCCTCTTCCATGCGTTTCACCCACCCAGCACAGCGTTTCGTGGCCCCATGGGAAGCTCCACCGAATCCCCCAGTGGCACCGCCCGCATGCGTCCGCCACCACCCAGCACAGCCCTCGCTCCCTGCGTTTCACCCACCCAGTGCAGCGTTTCGTGGCCGGGGGCTTCCCCGAAGGTCCCACTGGCATCGCCCGCATGCGTCCGCCACCACCCAGCACAGCCCTTGCTCCCTGCGTTCCACCCACCCAGCACAGCGTTTCGTGGCCCCATAGGGAGCTCCACCGAAGGTCCCAGTGGCACCGCCCGCATGCGTCCGCCACCACCCAGCACAGCCCTTGCTCCCTGCGTTCCGCCCACCCAGTACAGCGCTTCGTGGCCCCATAGGGAGCTCCACCGAAGGTCCCAGTGGCACCGCCCGCATGCGTCCGCCACCACCCAGCACAGCCCTTGCTTCCTGCGTTCCACCCACCCAGTACAGCGCTTCGTGGCCTCATAAGGGACCTCCACCGAAGCCCCCAGTGGCACCGCCCGCATGCGTCCGCCACCACCCAGCACATCCCTTGCTCCCTGCGTTTCGCCCACCGAGTACAGCGCTTCGTGGCCCCGTAGGGAGCTCCACCGAAGGTCCCACTGGCACTGCCCGCATGCGTCCGCCACCACCCAACACAGCCCTTGCTCCCTGCGCTGCACCCACCCAGTACAGCGTTTCGTGGCCTCATAGGGAGCGCCACCGAAGAAGATATTGACAATTGCGGTGCTCACAGCTGCATACGGTTGGGTGGTTCGCCAGGCGAATTCAATGATGTAATGTTTTGCTTCGTCGGATATCAGGGAAGTCCGTCCCAGGGCGTACCGAAACGCTTTCACAGCGTTAGGGAACGCTCTGAGAAGGCCGCGGCGCCCGAGGCATCCTTCGGATCCGCCGGAGCCCAGAGATTTCTGATTGTAGTGGCCTTCGACCAGTGCCGCCGATCCGGGGCGCTCCGACTGATGTGATCCTTCTTCGCCCTCGTCCCTCCTCTCTTTTTCCCTCCCCTCCTCTCACTCAGCATTTCTCGAAGACGCCTACGGCGAATCACCGCCGCCCCCTGCCTTTTTGGAAGCGCCTATGTGGCCGAACGTTGAGGCCAGACCTGCCAAGCTATCGGACCACGTGTTCCCCGAATCGGTTTGGAAAGCCTTCGGGGAACACGTGGGCATCTTGAAGGTCATCTTGGCCGTCTTGGAGGCCTCTTGGGCAAGCTTTGGGCGATCTTTGGGGCTTTTTGGGCCGTCTCGGGCCAGCTTCGAGCCAACTTCGGCCATCTTGGTGGGTTCCTGGCACGTCTGAAGCCGTCGGAAGCCGTTTGGGGGGCCTCTATGGGCCGACTTGGGGCCCGCTTGGAATGCTCCAGGGCCGTCTTGGAGGCCATCTTGGGCGTCTTGGAGGCCATCTTGGGCGTGTTGGAGGCCTCTTGGGCCCTCTTGGGGCCCTCTAGGGGCCATCTTGGAGGCCACTTGGGCCATCATGGGGCTCTCTTGGGGGCCTCTTGGGCGATCTTGGGGGCTTCTTGGGCCGTCTTGAGCCGTCGGAGAGCCGAAAAGGCGCAAATGCCAAAATCCTTCAAAAACCAATGGAAAATCAATGATTTTGGCCTCTTCGGACTCTCCTGGAGGACCTCTTGGAGGCCTCTTGGGCCGTCTGGGAGGCCTCTGGGGGGCCTCTTGGGCCGTCTTGGGCCGTCTTGGACTCTCTTGGGCCGTTTTGGAGGCCGTCTTGGACCATCTCGGGCGGACTTGGAGGCCATCTTGGGCCATCTTCGCGATTTTTTGAGGATGTCCCGAGCGAAACGGCCGTTTTTGGGCATTGACAGATGGGTTTTGTGAGATTTACGGGTGGCCGGCGGGACGGGCCGAAGCCCACTGGGGAGTTCTTTTAGAAAAAGAACCAAAACCAAAACCTGAATCGTCCAGCACGCCGTGCACCCCTGCAAGCAGGGGGCGGCGGATCCAGTGGCCGTCGGCCTATCCCGCCACCGTGCGTGGGTGGTGGGTCAGAGGCCTCATGGATGCTGGTTGGGATCTCGTGGTTGGCTGGGACTTCTGGGGGCCTCTTGGGCGCCTCTTGGGGCTTCTTGGGGGCCTCTTGGGCCTCTTGGGGCCACTAGAGGGCCTCTTGGGGGTCTCTTGGGAGCCTCTTGGGGCTTCTTGGGGGCCTCTTCTGCGCCCCTTGGGGCCTCTTGGAGGCCTCCTCGGAGCCTCTTGGTGCGGGAGGGGTGGTACTCGAGTTCGGAACCCCCTCGGAGGCCACGATCCTTGTGAGGGGTGTCAAAAAACGCATCCGCCAGAAACTCGCACCCCTCCCCCCACCCCCCCTTCCCCGGCAGAGCCACCCCGGCAACCCCCCCAGAGGCTGAGGCTCAGCCTCGAGGCTGTAGCTGAGACTCCTTGAAACTCGCACGCCGGATCGGCGGATTTATCTTCACCCGGATCTATCCTCGTCCTGGCCTCGTCTTAGGTCGAGGATGGCCAGGACCCCAGGTAAGAGGACCCGGTTAGTCGTAGGGCCCCGGAACACCTAAATTCTAGACGCTTCGCGTATCCCCACCAGCCCGTCCAGAAACGACGCCCAGGCGAGTAGAGGGTCGTCCTGAGGGGCTTTTCGGCGTCTTGGGTGCCTCGGGGGGGCCTCTTTGGGCCGTTTGGGATCCTCTTGGGGGCCTCCTGGGGGCCTCTTGGGGCCATCTTGGGGCCATCTTGGGGCCTCTTGGTGCCTCCTGGGCGCTTCTTGGGGCCATCTTGGAGGAAATCGATCAAAGAAGAGGGGAGCTTCAGGGGGCCAAAATGGGGCCAAAACCTTAGTAAAATCAATGATTTTGTCTTCCTCGGCGAGGCCGTTTTGGACGCTCTGACCGCTCCCCGCACCCCCTGTCCAGGTCAGTGGGGAGGGGGCAGGGGGAGGGGTAAACCCCTCCCCGAAGGGGAAGAAGGAGGGGTGGAAGAGGAAACGCTCTAAACCACCGACGCCCAGAGGGCTGGTGGGATTCGGGGAGCAAGATTACGACACCCACCCCGCAATACAGATGCCAGATGCCAATCTATTGTCATTACTCGTGACGCGAAATTTGCTTCGGGGTCCAAATATGCTGATTTCGGGGGGTCGGAGGGGACGTCTTGGACGAGTTGCCGACGCTTCGCGGAGGCCACATTCGCGGGGGCCCAGCGAACCCGCCGACTGCACGCGGCCATACACGTCGCCGCCAGCATCGATGATGTTCGTACTCGTCTGCACGGGTGGGACTGGCCCTCGCGAGTCCGCAGTATTTCCAGAGTCGTTTCGTGTTTCCGCGGGACAGCGGGGTATACAAAAACCACCCCAAAAACATGATGCACACCCGCCCAAACGAAGTATACACCCACCCTTAACTTTTTATCCCCGAGCCAAA